CGGGGAAAATCTAACGCCTTGTCGACGAAAGCCAATGGTGGCCTCGGGAGCGGGACCTTCGAGTTATCGCCGGGACCCGGACGACATTGAGCCGTCGAAACGTGCCGCGTATAAAAGCGAAATACTCGCGATCCTCCTCCTCCTCCTTCTCCTCCTTATAGTGTTGCTCCTCCTTCTCCTTCTCCTTCTTCTTATCCACCTCCTCCTCCTACACCTCCTCCACCACCACCTTCTCCTCCTACACCTCCTCCACCACCACCTTCTCCTCCTACACCTCCTCCACCACCACCTTCTCCTCCTACACCTCCTCCACCACCACCTTCTCCTCCTCCACCTCCTCCTCATCCTCATCCTCATCCTCCTCTAACTCCTGCTTCACTTGGTAGTGACGCGACGATGGCAATGTCGAGCAACGGCTGTCACGACGCGACGTCTGACATTGACCCGAATTTTTTAGCCCGCGCTTATTGCTTTAACTTATTATTATTTTATTTTCACCTCGTCTCTCTCTCTCCCTCTCTCTCGCACTGTCTATCCGTCAGTCCGACGTCTGTCTTGCTGTCTTGCTGTCTGTCTATCTGTCCGTCTGTCTCTGAGAGTGACGCGTAATAGCGACCGTTATTTATCGGGAGAAGGTGGAAGTGGTCTTGCAAGAGGTGCTTTTGCGCCAAGGCCGTGGTCCGACTTAGAAACGCGATGTCATTGTCGGCAAACGGATGAGGAGGACATTAGCAAGTCCAAAAAGTTATTAACTGAAATTCAATAAGGAGATTAAGGAAACTTTCTAGGTCGCCTGACGCTTGACTCTTCGTTGATTGAATTGGACGGCAAAGGGTTATCGTGGCTAGGGAGGTGGTGGAAGTGATGGGCGAGAGTTTAAGTGGCCGGTGGGGGGGGGGGCAAGCGGAGGTGAACCGGTAGATAATTCGAAAGGGAACGAGAAGTTCCGTAGAAAGCACGATACCATTAATCGCGTATTTGCACAATGCGCCGAGCAATTCGGTAAATAATTCGCGGCGAGCATGGAGACGAAGCGATGGAGCGAGCCTTCGAAAATGAAAATCTCGACCAATGCCAAGGAGTACGCGCCTCGGCAAAAAGCTGTTCCGCAGCATCGCTCGTCCGCATCAAAATTGCCGCCGGTGAGAAGAGGAAAGAGTCGGCCGTCAAGTCGAGAGAGCCACGCTCCACGCTCCTTCTTTATCGAGCATTCGACTCTCCCCGTTCTCCCTCATCTTTTACGCTCCTCCGTTACCTCGAGCATTCCGTATTCTTGGGCCCCTCAGCCCCTCACTCAGTCTCTCTCTCTCTCTCTCTCTCTCTCTCTCTCTCATACATTCTTCTCCCGTTTCTTCCACCGTTCTCATTCCTTATTACGTTACTCGTCCCTTTGGCAAAGATCCCTTTTGACTCTCAGCGAACTGATAACACGCTCCAAAATAGTTTTATCAATTGGCAAATTTTTTAAAAAATTACTTTCATTACTTTCAGTAGCGTCGCTCTATCTCTCTCTCTCTCTCTCTCTCTCTCTCTCTCTCTCTCTCAATCTCGATCTTTCTCTCGTCACTGCTTTTCCTATAGTCGCTGTTCTCTTCCCATCGCGTGAGACACACGCGAATCTGTACTTTCAATTGCGCATTCTAGTATTATCAGAAAGCAACGTTAATCATAAATATAATAAATGAGCTAACCGTTACAGCGCCAGCTAGAAAATCATTCATAATTGACGCGAAGAGGATAAACGCGTATTTGTTTGTGTAGAGTGCGCGCGATAAGGTATATCGACGGAGGCTGAGGTTGGTGCATCATAAGAGCTACGCTACCGCCTATAATCCCAATTCGGCCTCACTCTCTCCTCGATGCCGACCACCGTAAGCGCGCAGCCTTCGCTCGTAAATTCATGCTCGCGCACTCGCACGCTAATGCGAAATATCGCGATGATCCCACGTGTCGACGAGCATCGACTCGCATCGACTCGACTCGACTCGCCTCGACTTGACTCGACTCCACTCGACTCTTCCCCGTTTTTACATTCTGCGATTTACCGCTTTGTCTTTTAATCACGCCCGCGCATCATTCGACTAATCCGTCACGCGCGGCGTTGTTCTTCGTCTAGTACCTCTTCATACGTTAATTGCCTTATAACATGGCAAATCGCAAGCGCGGGCTAATCGAAGTTGCGAGTCCCCCCTGGACAACTCCTCGGCAATCGATTGATGATCTCAGCGCGAAAGGCCAATAGCTGCGCTGTAATTTTTATCTTAAACTTGAAACGTCGATGCAGAGAAGAAGAGAGCGAGTTGAGTCACTCGTCAGTTGCATCGACTTACAACGGTGCTATAAAAATAGAAACTACCGCTTTAGGAATGCCGTCCTTCGATTGTAACTTTCGAACGATATTTTCAATACGAAAACAAAATTAATCATAGCGAAGGAGAGAAAATTTTTTTTCTACGTAATACGTGCCGCTTAGATTTACTGGTACACTTAACTTTGGCTAATGACTTACCTCCTTCGGAGAATTAACGACGCTACCTCATTCCTGTATCAATGTATGTATACGCTATTAAAGACAATTATCTCAGCGTTAATTATGATATTTTGGAATTTAAGGGGCCAATTAGTGATTTTCACGCGTTTTTGGCGGATTTGATGAAAAGAGGAGGAGCAAAGGGGCGTTTGGAAAAGACACCCCATCTGTCTTATAAGAAGAAGGCCTTATATAATTAAGATTTATTATTGGATAAATGATTTTGTCGAGTATGGTGCTATGCTGTTGTTGTCGATGCATCTCTCCAGCGGCAAAACAAATATATACTTACCACGTAAAGACATACGTATTTATAATAAAAATCAAAATTCATTACGGCAGAATATCGTAAAGCCGCAATAAGAAGTGCTCAATGACGGCAATCAATGATAATCTTACTCGTAATCGCTATGGCAACCACGACAAAGTATTTCCAAGTAAATTCAATCGCTCGGCGAGATGTCGGCAAGAGTGAAAAATAGCCGATCGCTACGCATCAGCTAGAATCATTTTCTCACAATTAACCAGTTCCATGGAAACGGAAACAATGAAAGCCTCGATAAAGTGATAAAGTGACTTTTGTCACTGGTATCATTCACGATACTTTGAACATTGTAAGCGAAACATTGTAACATTGAGAAACCAAACGACCGGGAGAAGGGAGCAGAGAGATGGTAAAGAGGCAGGGAGGCGTCAGGGCGATGGGGAGGGAGTTGGGCGAAGGTGGGAGAGGGCCGAGCAGAAAACGAAAGAATCGGAGCCTAAATGCTTTCTGGACGGGGGAGATCCCGTCGTCGCGCGATGGCGAACGCGAACTGGTGTCGAAGGTTACCCAGGGCTCTCCCGCCTCGTCGCGCCTACCACACAGTCGCGATATATTTGGCTGTGTGGCCACCATTTTGGATGCTCTCGCGCACCCAAAGGCGCTGACGTAATTGCTTACGCAAAAACACGATGGCTGTCCGGTTGTCGTGCGAGCGTACGAGCGTACGAGCTTACGAGCGATTCCGATAATTCGTCCTCGCTCCATTACGCTCCGATCCAATCGTTGTGGTGGATTTATTTGGTAAGCCGTCAACACGATCTCGAACGTCTCTTCGTCACGGCATTTCTACGGCGAGCGATTACCAATCACCATTACGACGCGACACTTTCATTGCCAATGTCGCGCCGCGAAATATCAATTCTTGGCGATCGGGCGTACTCGCCCAGCAGTCGAGCGCTCATTTTTGTGTTTCGTTTTTTCGGCGAAGTAGCACGCCTTTTGCTTGACGCGATACGGCCTCGGCGGCAACGATTGTCGCGCTCACGGAGGAAGAGGCGTGGGACGAAGGAGGCGCCTCTTTTGGCTGTTCACAGCCGGGACACAGCTGCCATCGGCGCCAGCTGCGCAAAATCTAGACGAGCGACTAAAGTTTAGCACACTCGAGGGCCGCGGCAGGATAATTGATTTTCCTTGGGGAAGGAGCTGAAAGGAGAATTGCGATCGACGATGATGATTCACCCGTCAAATTGACTTTTTAAGACGCTCGTTTAATCCTCTCGTGCGCGCGCTGATTTATCGACGTCGCAATGGAATTACCCTATGATTCTTCCCCCGGAGGCATTATAAATTTTTCAATTTGGATCTTCTTTGTTTGCTGTCGGTTGCTGTTGGGCCGAGCGAGCCAAGGAGCTACTCCCGACCGCACGGAAATTACTACAGAAATTATGCATTGCAAAAAATCGAAGCAATTTACTCGTATCTTAATATCATTTTGCAATTTGAATGAAACACAACGATGAAAATGTTTGCTAAAAAAGCGCGCTGATTCGAAAATCACATGCACGTTTCGTACTCCGGAAGTAAATTTAAACTTATCAATCCTTATCAACGCCATAAAACTAATGCCCTTTCTATATATATATATATATATATATATGTATATATACATATACATATGTATTCATCGTAATCTTCGCAACATTATTAGAAAAGTAAAGAAAAAAATAACAATATTAATAACAATAATAATAAATAAATAAATAAATGAAAATTAATAAAAAAAAAGGCAAAAAAATCGACAGCAGAGAGAGAGAGAGAGAGAGAGAGAGAGAGAATTGAAAATATAAAATGAATAAAAATGTCCCGTAAGATCGATAGAAATGCAAGGTGGAATTAATTGGAGCTCGTAATGTAACGTGAAATGAAAGAAAAAAGTTCTGTCAGATAATTCGCAATAATAATTAAAAAGCAGGGCATTAAATTAGTCCTTACTTACACCTCCCCTATAAATAACAATTGCAAAGTGAATAATCGAACGACTGACCTCGTCGAAACGGCAAACGACCGGAGAATATAAGAAATCGGCGCAACCCAAGGCGGCCGAGCGTCCCGTAACCATCCGTTCCCATCCCATGCGCCCGAGCGATAAGCCCAATTGCCTTTAGTGAACAAAAGAACCAACCCTCGATCGTCTGTGCCTTTTAGATCGAGACAAGTCGGACGATGAACGAGCGACGACGCCGGAGTCACTGCGCAGCAGTGGATCACCGGCTTGTTCACCGCCCCCGATTCCGGGGCCCTCCTCGCCGGGACCCTGCCGTACTGACGGTCCAGCACGCCGCTTCATCTCCAGTATCCTCGGGGGTGACGTGCCTTACGGTAGCCGTGGCCACGTGCTCACGCGCAAGGAGCCAAGCCTGACACCGAGGCCCGAGTCCCAGCTCGCCGTGTCCAAGCCCGAGCGACTGGAGCTCCCGCGACCCTCGACACCGCCGAGGACGCCAAGGCCCGAGGCTCCCACGAGGGTCTCCGTCATACAGAGGGTGCCGCCGAAGGCGCAGAGCGCCAGGCGCGAAGACACCAAGATCGAGATACCGCGCACCCAAGAGCCCGAGCAGGTAAGTGCGCAGCCCATCCGTGCGCAGCGCAAAGAGGAAGTCATTCGTGCTTGATTGGTTGTTCCGTCGAGACGATGAGCAGTTTTATGCTCACCTTAAATTATAGGTAAAGTTTTTTTTTTCGGTCAACTCGCCGCGCAATTATTACGAGGGATCCTTCGGTTATACACAGGCACTGCTTGAGCTTTTGGGCCCAATGTGCTCTACAATGCCGTTTACCTATTGCAGCTCGGCGTTCACGTAACCACGCGATAAAACATTGGGCTTTGAGGCATCGCGGTGATGTAAAGGGTTTGAGAAGTGCGGCCGCCATTTTGTTCGTATTTGGTCGTCATTGGCTCGTAGGAAGTAGATAAGCACGGGCAGTCTTCCGTCCATCGAATAATGCAGAATTCCAAGAAATAGCCTGTTCCGACAGTATTTTCAGCCAGACTGAATATCGCTGGCCCATTGTTAGCTTCAGCCTGCTCTTATTGGCCATTATTTCTTCTTGCAGTTAAAATCGACTAATGACTGACCTCTTTTCATTTTTCATAATCTTTACACCTAAAATCGAAGCAGGTATAAATATATTGTGAGGTATGCAACCTGTCATTCGGTACTTGAAACTCATTTGCTACCGACTGTGAATATTATTTACGTTGACAGTGGAATCGAGGGATTATCGAAGAGCTTTAGTTAGTGTCGCAGTGTTCTATTTTGCAACTGTAAAGTGTCTTATCGGCCAGCTAAGGTTCATATTCCTTATATTATATTATATAATTCTTCTTATTATATTAATTATTTATTCGTTTAATATTAATTATTTATTGATTTATTTATTTTATTATTTTGTTTTTGTTTTATTTTGTTTATAAATTTAATATTAAGTGAAAATTTTGAAAGCAGTGCATATTATTTGAAAATTATGAAATTATGTCTTTCGATAGGCATTATAATGCAGATTGATTCATCATCGACTTATTGGTGGCTAAATCATAAGTGCAGCTGTGAAACAGTGACGTAACAATGTTAATAATTAATACAGAAATTGTAGCTTAAAGTCACAATGTACTATGGCTACAAAAATTATGCAAACGATAACATCCATTGGCTGGTCATGACTGTTTTTTCGTATATTCTTTTCCTCCATTATATCTTGCCATAATCATCATAATATTTCAAAAGCATTACGATCGATAGTTGTTGCATTAAATGGGAAGAGATTCCATGAATTGGGGGAACGATGACGATTAAACGTTGGCGCAAAATGTCACACTCTCGAAATTCTTAATAGACTCGCAATACTCAATGCAAGATTAAATGGATCGAAGCAGCGTGATTTTTCAAGGCTCGAAGGCTTCCTCTATAATAACAAATGAAACTTGGGCTTGGACGATTTCGGGGGAGAATGAACGTAACTTACACAGATTCGTCGATCCACAGGAGCAGCCGATCGATTACGCGGTGCCGAAGCGAAAGGAGGAGCCCGAGGAGAGTAGTAACGAGCGCGGACGCGAAGGTGCCAAAGCGACACGTTCGACCATCGGCAACTCGATAGCCCGTCCACTCTTGGCGATGAGGCTGTCCAGTTCTCAAGGCATTCACGTAGCGGCGAGCGGACACGGGAGATCGAGTGGCGCCAGCGGTGGTGGTGGCAGTGGCGGTGGTACTGGCGGTAGCGGCGGCGGTGGCGGTGCCGGCGGGGGTGGCAGCAGCGGCACCGGCGGTGGTAGCCAGTCGGGAAATTCGGGCTCGTCGGCCGGGGGTGGTGGCTCGGGTGGAGCATCCTCCGGTGGTGGCTACGTATCCGGTAGTGGCGGAGGAGGTGGTGGAACGGCTGCTGGCGGTGGCACCGGCGGCGCCGGTGGCGGTGGCATGAATCCCGGAGGTAATGGCGGTCGCGGCAACTACGGCCCGAGCTCGCCGCCCACCGGCTCATTGCCGCCCTTCTACGAGAGCCTCAAGGGTGGCAACAACCTCGCCAACTTTGCCAGTCAATATAACGGTAAGTGGATATTTTTCATTGTCGCCTTTTTTATCGCGAACCAGCCTTGTTCTACGTCCCTCGACCATTGCTCCGGTAGAGAAGGGGGTGGAGGAGGGCTGGAGGGCGAGGAAAGTGGGTGGGGCAAAGATGTCCAGCCTGCTCGTCCAGTTTTTTTCGACTGCTTAAGGTTTTTTCAAGCCCTCCAAGCCCTCTCACCTCCCCAACGTGCTCGCACCGATCGCCAAACGGCAATTGTGATGCGCAACTAAAATCAATTTGCAATCGCCGCCCACAAGGTCCCAATGAATTTATAAAATATATTCGTCACATTATGTTGCGAGCGCGGCGAGGGAGCAATTAAGACGCTCGGGAATGTATAATTTTCATGGATTTTTCACAATTATGTAATGGTTGTTTAAGCGCGAGCACGAATGACGAATCATCCGTCGTCGCTTTAACAAACATTAAATATCCGGTTTTTAATACTCCATTAATTTTTATTGCCACGCAAGCTCAAAGCAATGTAGAAACGATAATTATATTGTCCATTAGTAGCAGTAGACGCTTAAATAGCGAATCTCCCATTGCGTTGCATGTTGCGATGCTAATGATGATGATGATGATAATAATAATAATAATAATAATAATAATAATAATAATAATAATAATAATAATAATAACAACAACAATAATAATAATAATAATAATAATAACAACAATGATAATAACAATAATAATGATAATGATAATAATAGCCGGGATAGATACATTAGTATAAATTTTCGATTTATGCACCTGTAATTATAGTGTTGTGTGACTCCTTATCAAGCTAAGCCGTTAAAAGTGCGAGAACTCGGATCTCGGCTGTTATTTTGCGGGATCGGGGGCCTTACGAGATCGCAAAGAGCCGACACATTTATCGAAATACGAGAAAGAAGATATCGCGATAATCCGGGAGGACACGCCGTGCGTCCATCGGCAATAATTTTGACGCCATATTTATTATCGTCGAAACGGCGCATGAGCAATGAGAATGAAATATGTCTTGTGACAAATGGGTAGACTTAATTATAATGCGTAAGGGCGACTGGGCCCGATCGATCTTTAAATAATAATAATGTGGGTATGATGATAGGCAACGGCTACCTGACGGCGTCGCCGACCGTCGGCATGGAGTGCGACACCGGCCAGCAGGACAGTAGCCTCAATCCTCAGCAGCAGTATGCCGCCCAGGAGGGCAAGCAGTACTCCCTCCTGCAGAACGTCTGCGCCTCGTACGGCATAGCACTGAAGGAGGAGGAGGACCTTACGGCCTACAAGATCCAGCCGAGCGATCTACTGAGCGGCCAGTACGGGCCCTACGACGTCACGGACTCGGGTATGATGCTCGACGTCGTCTCCGGTGCCGTGGTCGATCCCCTCCAGTTCTCGGCGACCCTCACCTTCAGCTCCGATCACACGGCCTTGCTCGAGAGCCTCAGCGACGCGGCGGACCTCTTTCTGCCGAGACTGCCGGCCGAGGAGGGTGCGGCCGAGCTCCTCGACGAGACTCTGCACTCGCCGGCATCGGCCGGCAGCGCGGCCATGGCCCAGGATGGCCAGATAAGCACGCCTGTCGAGCCAAGCGTCGACCCCTTCCCCGAGCACAGCATCTCCCTCACCAGAGGATTCGACGCCTCCAGGTAAGTATTTATAGCCTTCCCCTTTCTCGGCCGTTCTAGTTAATTCGTGTCCGTCCCTCGCTCGGTAGTTCCTCAATTTTTCTGCCTCGATGACTCGTACCATTGGGCGACCGACCGACCGATCGCGCTATCTCTCCCGCTCCCCCGACTTTCCGAATTTCCGCTACGGGCGGAACGATCTGCTCACTCAATTCCATAATACGCAAGATTAATCACGATAAAAAAAAATCAAGATATAAAGCAATTGAATGAAGGGCTGATGGAGTGGGGTTAAAGTCCGATCCTCTTGGTCGTGACGCTAACCAACGTCCGATCTTATTGCAGACATTACGGGGCACCGCAGCACTTCACATCCTCAAAACTCTCGGCGCTCTATTCGAACGGCGACTCGAGCTACCAGACACTACCCAAAGAGCGCTCCGAATTGGGTCTGCACATCAATCAGACCCAAAATGAGCCTCAGCTCCAGCAGTTGCAAATTCAGGTGCAGATGCAGCAACAGCAGCAGCAACAGCAACAGCAGCAACAGCAACAGCAGCAACAGGCCATGTCACCCCACCACCAGCATCATCATCAAGGTTTGCTGAGTCCCGGTCTCAGCTTTACTGGCAGTGGTGGGCCTTTTAACTATTTTCCTCCTCCCACGTCCCGACGTCCTTCCGTGCAACGGAACACCTATAATTGCTAAACTTTTATATATTTGCTCCTCCGATCATTTCAATCTTCATAACGATCATCTCCGAGTCCTTGCGTACTAGCTAGATTAACCGAGTAAATCATTCACGCTCAATTATAAAAACATCGATGAATAATATATTTAAAATTGTCATCACTGGACAATCGTTTCTTCAATTGCCTTAAACAACAATCTATCGACGCAATTGGCTTCGTTCCTCGCATCTCTGCTATAATTAACTTGTTTCAATTATCTTAATTAGAATCGGATTTAATCGCATGCTGTGAAATATTGTGATATATCTCACTTTTTCTTTATTCCTCTTCTGTCTTTCTGTCCTCTTCTTCTTTTTTTTCTATTATTATATTTTCTGTGTTTCCTCTTCTTCTTCTTCTTCATCTTCTTTCCTTTCTTTTTAAATGAAAAATAACATTCTAATTGTAAATCACTTTCAGTACCAGAAATGTACATCATTTTAAAACTTGACTATGTTATATAATTTAAAGGCAGCTCTTGATCGATTTATTTAAATTGCTTATAATAATGGAATTATGATAATATGGATGGGAGAGAAAGAAAAATAAGGGCTAATCGAGGTCCAAGCTTATGTAAGCGCGAGACTGAGAAAGTAACGTTTATTACCAACGGTCAATCACGGCATGTCACCTCATAAGAAATCAAGGGCTGCTCCAGCACATCCAAGCGGTGACGCAGATTGTAGTGCCCTAATACACAACTAACGATGAAAGCTTCACAATTCGAGGCAACCAGGGTGCATTAGCTCGTTAACGTCGGGCGTTCCCCGTCCTTGTTGTAGGCCTCGAGTTGGATTCCGGAAGTAGCGCTGGTGGCAGCCTGCCGAGTCCCGGTGCCGGGAGCTGTTCGCTCGACGCGACCTCCGCCAGCACCTCGCCTTCCTGCGCCCTGATGGACCACGCGCCGAGCCCTGCGGGAGTCGCCTCCAGTACTTCCTCGAACGCCGGCGAGCCACCGCTAACACAAAGGGTGCGTATACAACACATGGATAGAGGATAAGCGGCTCGATTTGATACAGGCAAAGGCATAATACGTACGTTCATCCATGCGATTGAGTGCTCCAGAGAGATAGAGAGAGAGAGAAAGAGAGAGAGAGTTACCCCGTAATTAGATTTAGTTGGTTAGTAAGTAGAAACGGCGGGCGTCGGTATAAGGGGGGGGGGGGGGGGGGGGGGGGGGGGGGGGGGTATCGAGGATTATATCTTCGTTATAATATAACGAAGCGATGATAATAAATAATGACAATATAAAAGTCAATGGTAATTAGTGCCTTTACAAGCATGACAAATGCACTTAGATACCGGGAAGTTATGTTATAGAGAGTCGTCGGAACGTCAATGCCAATGCCAAACAACTCGACCGCATTATTCGGATAATATTTAAACGACTCGGCTGTTGCGCTCGAATCGGTCATTCGCTCCTTCCAACTAACCTCTCATTATCTTTTACTAAAATTAGCTTGGCCTACCCGGGGACTGCCAGCTCGAATTCGTCAACGGGGGCCACGGCATTAAGAACCCGCTGGCGATCGAGGGCCAGAGGCAGGCGGCGACGAGCCGCGACGAGGATCGCACAGCCCGGCCGCCCCCTGGCAAGGTAAGCCCCGACATCCATGGATCCATCGCTTTTCCACGGGGCCTCCCCTCCCGCGATTATCCTTCTTCACGTCTGGAACCGTTGCAGGACGACGACCCGAGCAGGTTCACGTGCCGCGTCTGCAGCAAGAACTTCAGTCTCCAGAGACTGTTGAATCGGCACATGAAGTGCCACAGCGACGTCAAACGCTACCTCTGCACCTTCTGTGGCAAGGGCTTCAACGACACCTTCGACCTCAAGAGGCATACGCGCACACACACGGGCGTACGACCCTACAAGTGCAACCTCTGCGAGAAAAGCTTCACGCAACGCTGCTCCCTCGAGAGCCACTGCCTCAAGGTGCACGGTGTCCAGCACCAGTACGCTTACAAGGAACGACGTACCAAGGTTGGTAGACTCTTTCGTTTTGCACGTTGCGCGTCGCGCGTCTGTCCTTCTTCGCATATCCTCCACCGAATCGCTTTATATTCCCGCGGGCCAGTTCAAGCTTCAAAGATAAAATCACGCACGATGTATCATCGTCACTAGGTTATCCTAGGTCAGCTTGTCAGCCCTTCACGCGTCAAAAGCTCCGTGTCGCTTAATCGCGTCGCATTACAATATTATCAAACGGCTGTTTCCGGCTTTCTAACTTTTTTCAAGCAAATCGTATCAACCCCTTATCAGTGCGAATAGTGCAGACGAAGAAGTAGTACGAGCCCGATGTGTGCCCGACGCGTGCCCGATGCGTCTAATCGCGCAAATGTCCTTGGAACTGGAAAAGTTTAGGTTGCATCGAACACCCGCGCTCTCGTTTCGCGTTCGGCTACTCTTACTCGATAATTTATTTAAAGCGATCAGTTGCTCAGACAGTTGTAAAAAAAATCCATCTTTTTTTTTCTTTTGTTTGTTCTTGGTCGTAGGTCTACGTTTGCGAGGAGTGCGGCCACACGACACAGGAGCCGGAAGTGCATTACCTGCACCTTAAGGATAAGCACCCGTACAGTCCAGCCCTGCTGAAGTTCTACGACAAGCGCCACTTCAAGTTCACGAACAGCAACTTTGCCAACATGCTGCTGCAGGTGCGCACGTAGAAAACAAAAACAAACGAGGGACTTGCGCTACATAAAGGAGTGAGAGCCTTGAAACAAAAAAATACTTGTTAAAGCAAGCGACGCGTGTTTCGGCTTTGCTCATCACTGGCTTACTTCGTGTTCGAAGAACCGACGCCATTAACGGAAAAAGAAAAGAGATAAACAAAATAATAATAATAATAATAATAAAGCAAGAAAAGCACTGCCTTTTCCGTCTCTCTCTTTCTCTTTATGTCTCTCTCTCTCTCTCTCTCTCTCTCTCACTCTCTGTCAGTATCTCAGTATCTCAGTCTCTGTTTCTCTGTATCTTAATCACTCGCTCGCTCGCTCGTCCACTCTCGTTCCCCCATTGTTTTCTCGCTCATTTTTGTGAAAAGTTGCGTCGGGAAGGTAAGAGCGAGCGCACCGCGAGAAACGACCCAGCGATGAGCAAAGCCCCCGTAATCCTAGAGTACAGCGGGTGGGGGGGGGGGAGCTACGCGATAAGCTCAGATAAGAACAGCAAATAATTGAGATGACAATTGAGATAGCGTAAGAAAGATAATAAAGTTAAAAGAAAGAGGGGAGATGAGGTAAGGAATAAGAGATAATAAGTGTCGGCGCGCGTCGGTTATTGACAAGCGGATAAGCACAAAGAACAAACACACGTGTCAACTGTTCTTGCTCGTGTCAATCCTCAGGGTGGGCTGCTGCAGCGGGACTCGCGAAACGCCGACTCCTGCGTCAAGTCTGCCTCGAAAGCGCTCGAGACCACGCAGCTGCGGCGCGCCTCGACTTTGTTACACATGGGCCGGGCCTCCACGTTCTGAGTCCGCGGGATCAGCCACGAGGGAGGACTGCGGCGAGCCGGGGAGGAGCTACGAGAGCCTCTTGTCGCTCTCGCTACGGCATCCTTCAGTATTTACTAATCGACGATTTTCTGACAATACCATAATGAGTTGCTCCTGATACGGGAGAGGAGGAGGAGGAGCAGGAGGAGCAGGAAGAGCGAGCAGGAGGAGGATGATGAAGAGGTGGAGGTGGCGGAGGATGAAGAGGATGAAGAAGAGGAGGAGGAGGAGGAGGAGGAGGAGGAGGAGGAGGAGGAGGCGGGGGCGGGG